GTCTCAAACAAAGGACTGGTTTCTGCATCCCACAGTGGAAATCAAAGCTACAATGTAAGGATTAACTCCATACACACAACTCTAGGGAAAATGTACCACCCACTGCACCATGTGGGCAACAAGTTTTATTTCACAATCATATTGATGCTATTTTTGGAAAAAAATCTGTTTTTTGCTAGGACTTCTTTCTTGTTTTACTTGGGGATTACAATATCTGGTATGGGGTCATATGAATATCAATATTGTTACAGCAAAAAACACCTTGACCTGACATTACTATTAGAAAGTGTACAATGACTTTTTTATAATTGATATGAGATAAACACTGCCTGTATTATGCATTAACAATTACATGTATATCAGCTAGTCTTCACGAGAAAACTTGTGTTCCATCATTATCAGTCACTGCTCTCTACCTTACGTGTAAGTGGACAGACTTTTAAGTCATCACTCATATCTCCACTGGACTCTGATGGAGTCAATCATTCAAAGACTCAGGAGACCCAGTTCCATTTCAATATTGACCTAATTTACTGATCTGGTTGACCTATTAACTATACAGTTGACATGTACCTATTAGACCTGACTTTGTTGGATACATTGACAAAATGTGTCTGTCAGCCTAAAAATTCTTCTGTCAAAAAATCTATTTTGTTTTCTCAAGAAATTAGAATTGTTTGCTGATCATCTTAAACCAAATTTATGACTATGTAATGGGAAAGGAGAAAATGCAGTGGACCAGACAGGGATTCGAACCCAGGCCTTCAGGTCAGGTGCTCTACCAAATGAGCTATCTGGCCACCAGCGATCGAACCCAGCTGACCGCCACAACTGAAAAAGTTTTTCAAATATGGAATTAATTTTCTTTCATTAAGATTTAATCTCATTAACTTGATGAAATTATTTAAAATAAAAGCAATTAACAAAATAGCTGGAAATTAAAAGGATTTAATTTTCCTTTACTTTATATGAAGTATGGTGTTCATGGTGTTAAACTTTAATTCACACAACTATGTGATTTAATTGTAAGTTGCAAATAAAGGTTTCTAAACTTATATACCTTATTTTAAAACTATCAAAAATCATGACAAAATTGTATAGTAATCATATATGATATATATTGTGTGGTTCATTTGGATTTTGTTTTATCAAATTCACTTGTATTATAAGCTTATGGGGTATAGGACAATACATGTGCTAGACGTGTATCATATTCATGGAGAATTTTTTTGTTTGTATGTTCAACATCTTGAACCAGATTTTCACTCATATGGAGATGCTACCATTTGCAATTTTGTGCTACACTCAAGGCTATTGAGCAGTGCAGGAATCTTTTTCATCATCTGACTTCATCCTGCAATATAAGGATCAACTCCTTACTCCGCAACTCTAGTCTAGAGCAGTCTTCAAAGAGTGCATTTGTCATAATTTTCTGCTATCATGTTACTGTTGAAAGTTATATACCAGAAACATACACAAGGTAGCTTCAATATTTGTTTAAAAAAATTCTTAAAGACAAAATTGATAAAACTATTCATTTATCTAGAAATCCGATACATCTCTGTCAGAACTATTTACTAATTTAATATTAATTATCAAATCTTTCTCTCTTTTTAACATTTGAATTTACTTGTATCAAAAAGTAACAATCAATGGGCAAAGGTAATCATCATATTATGATAAAAGAATTTGATATCCACTATCCCATAACACCAACATAGTCAATCATTAATCCATAAAATCTATAGTCAGAATGATTTGCTATTTTTATTATATTTATGATAAAAAGGCATAATTGATAAATTTACTTTATTATTTTTTTTTTGTACAATAGTAATCTGATGACCATGATTTTATTATACATACACATATACATATACAGAGAAATTACACATTAGTCACATTTTTTAACTTAGATAAGAGTACAGATCAATTGTAAAAGGTTAAAGATCAGTCTTGACTTACACTTAAGTAAATGGCTAAATGTCCTCTTTTTTGGTACCATCTATCTAGATATTTCATTTGTTTAAAGCCAATCCTTAGTTAACTCTATCTATCAGATGTTTCCTTCGAAAATGTTACACCTCAAATTCCTTTTCTGATAAAATTTAAATCATATATATATTTTTATAAAGTTTGGGATTCAATCAAGACTTTCAAAAATTTTATTGTAATAGTATTTATTTAGGTTTTCCACACTTGTGTGATATGTCTCTGAATCAACCTTTTTTAAAAGTCCTGCACCTGTATATCCTATAAGTCCTAAATAATAACCTATTGATTATGTCAATCCCTCTTGAGGGCAGGTCAACCTTATCAATGAAAGAGTGCATTACAACCTTCAATAGTGAAAGGACATGTTAACTTGATATTGTGGTCAGCTCTACTTCAATGGATTTTATTTGTTCAAACAGCAGATTGAACTCAATACACTGACATGGTCTACATTAAGTTTCTACCACCTGATTTAGTTAACCAAGTTATTACACATTGGAGATTTCATATCATCATTCCTCTCTGGATTAAGTTCCCTATTTACCTTACATGAATATTGACAAGGATATATATTATAATTAGCATACAACAAATGTGAAATGGACCTCATTTATCTGCCCTGATAACTCAACTGACCAACCAAAGACAGATGTAAATCTTGTTGGGTTTTTGTTTGAATTATTTACCGAACACTCGATTTTGTCACCCCATTTCCTATCTCACTCCTCTACGACTGACAACCCTAATCACGCTAATAAAAGCATGTAAATGTGTATTACACACAAACACAACACTATGGCATGTACAGAACATGCTGAATGTAATTTACAATTCAAACAACAATTCAGCATTCTAATTGTTCTCAAACATGATTGTTAAATACAATTTTTGCAGCATTTTGTTCAAGCAAGTAAAATAAAAGTCTCACTACACCAATACTATATCAAAATATAGAATTATTATTAATTCAAAGACAAACTGTCAGGAATTTACAGCTTTGCAAAAATGAGCTAATGAATAAATCCCCATTTTGATTTTACAAGTTGGCATGCATGTCAATTTACAGCATGGAATTTTAGTCTCTTTTGGTTTTCAACAAAACACATAAATACAAAATTATGACCCTTAATAAATTAATCAATACAACATGTTTAATAGATATTTAATTCAATTTTCGACATCAGTAGCTCTCAACATGTGCATGATGTGCATGTGAAATACTAACTATGCTATTTTATTTGTCTCTAATAATTATCTTGTTTTCTGTGCATTTTTTTTTTATTTCATCTGGAATGATGATAATATTTACAGAGTTGATTATATAGAAAAATAGGAACTGTTCGATGACAAAAGCGATAAAAAGTGTAACTTCAAACCTTTGGTAAATGTCCAAGGTCTTCCTGCTCATAGGGTTTCTTAAAACCATCTGAAAGGAATCCATTTAGCCACCAAAATGTTACTTTGGATAGAAAGTTCACATGCTTGAATACAAATTTGCTTTCTCCAAGATCAGGTGGGGTTTTTGCTGGCACTGGATTTTTGAAGAAGGCATATTTCTGTTGTAAAAATTTAAATTATTTTAAACCATTGTCATCATAATTATACAATTTATAGCAATAAGACAGTCCATTTCAAAATTATTTTAATAAATTGTTCTTCTCAAGTAACAAACTTCGATCATTATAAATTATATGTACCAGTATAGCTGTACTGGTATATACTATTTACACATTAATTTAGTAGGAATTCAGAATTTAAAGGGACAAATTTAATTTGTCTTTAAATGACCTTTAGCCTACTGCTCTACTTTTCACTTCAACATGTTCAATCTTACCTGGACTCTTAGTAAATTAAGTTCAACCGTCAGTAATATCACATAGAATGCCACATCAATCCAAGTTAACCACACTCTCACATGGGCTACAGATATACCATTTTTGTGCAATGAAACACCCTTCAATATTTTTATTGGTAACACCGACATCCAATATGCCAAGATTATAAGTAAAAATCTTGGAGAATTCCACTGTTCTATGTTATGGTAGAATACAAGAGTCAATATAGTTGCTACAAAGGCAATGATCGGTGGTATGAAGACATGGTAATTTACAGTGTCAGGATCTTGGGAATCTGACATAAACCCTTCTGCAATTTCGGTGCCAATTATGATAACCAAAGCAAGTGAAAAAAGCCATCTTACATTGTGCCCCTTGAAATGTACCCATGTTGTTGCATTGTAGTACTTAGACTTGCACCACACAATCAATATAAACAAACTGACAAGCAAAAATATTGCATGTGGCACAATGTTAAGAACATCCACAAAGCATTCATTCTTCACAACACCCTCTGCAACACTTCTAGCTTTGTTTTTAGATCCACAAAAAGACATGTTTTCTGTCACTACCTTGCGAGGAATAAATCTTACTCTGTCATTCTTTGTAATTTACATATTGAAAGTAAAGGTGAAATTATGTTACGCTCGGGCAACAAAGGTCGTATTGCATAATAAATAGTAACGGCAAAAACGACCCAAAAAATAAACCCCGTTCAGGTCACAGGGAGAATTCGGCTAAATTGCCAAACAACACTCATGTACTTCTAAATGCGACTTCCGGTGGGTCAACAAATAGTTAGATTACATGGATATAAATCTAGTGTGAATACAACAGATAAAAGCATTTTATTTAATTTCATTAATTTGCCAAAATATACTTAAACTAGTATATTGTTTTGAATAAGTCAATCTTTTGAACAAAAAAATTCGAAATATTCTTGCGCGAATTAAATACAGTAAGTCGACTAAAAATGCTTCGGTTTAAAATCCCCAAACCTAGAAATCGGATGAACTGAATTATTTTCACGTTAGATTTTATTATAATGATAAATCTTTTGAATAATGAATTATTTGATTTTTCATGTTAATGACTGTCATGAAATATTGAGCGTATTTTTAGAATCCGAATCATTAAATGAAATAGTTAACTACGTTGGACAAGAAAAATAAATCCTGTATCCATTTGTGTCATTGTGTGTGAGTTCCAAAGCGGAATATCAAGCTCAATTTTAATATCAGTAGTGGACAATGTCGCTTGAAACAGTACCAAAGGACCAAAGAAACTTAAGAGCCTGCCTTTTATGTTCACTTGTTAAGGTAACTTATTATGTGAAGACCATTAGGCTAGTCTGTTTGTTTTGTTATCAAATGGTTAAGTTACATGTTTGGGTCTTAGTTAACAGTAACACTGAGTGAGGGCTAGTAAAATCAGCTGATCACTATACATATAAAGGCCTACAATACTTTACAATGCCTGTTCTGTTAGCCATATGCATGTATAGATGTAATTGTACGGTATAACACGCATAAGACTTGTTCAATTCCTTGTGTGTTGTGTGATCAACACAAGGATTGTGAACTCGGATTGTTTCTCATTGTGCTGAATTATTATCAATTAGATATCTTCATAAATTAGGATAAGAATAATCTAAATGTGTCTCGGGACAAGCAGTTAGAATACCTCCCATATACTTACAATGTAGCAAAAATTTGCAGAATCGCTCCACAACAATTTTGAAGAATACAAAAGGATTTGCACAAAAAATAACCTCCAAATTAATAATAACAAACCTGTTTGATGTTGTGTATGCCTTTAAATCTTAAATATAATATGAAAATTCAACTTATTTTCTCAACATTTTATCTCGCTTCAACTTTACATGCCATGATTGATTCGAAATTCTCTTGATTGTTCATAGTAAATGCACTGAGTTCGAGTTATTGCCCATGTTTATTTTGCAACATTGTGTTTACACAGAAAGAATCTATCATTAAACTGAGTTCATGGGATATTTACCATTTACAATAGAACACATTAAGAAGTGCCTGTCAGGGTTCGACACTAACGGTAGACCGGCGGCCCGAGTCTACCAAAAAATTGGAAGGTCCACCAAACATTCTGGACTAAGTGGACCGTTGGTCCACTTAAAATTTAAACACCGTATTAAAAAAAAAAAGTGAAATTCCAGGGTTTTTTTTTTCATAAATCCATAACTCAAATTATTAATTCCTCCATACCTGTATTTTACTAAAAATAAATATATATGTAAATGTAAATAATGTTTTAGGTAAACAGGGGGACCTAGCAACTCGATATATTTTACATGTTAAATTGATAACTCCAATATTAACAATAATATTGAGGCGCAATTGAACATACAACATGGACCTTGAATAAGAAGCATGAAAAATCCGTGCCAAATCAGCCAGTATCTCCTCTGTTTACTTAAAACATTGCTGTGACATCATGCCTTTGTTCTTGCAGTCTAAAAATTTACCTGTAGCCGTCCGATAATAATAATTACCAGTCTGATAATATATTATCGGACGGCAATGATAACAAAATCGGACGGTATTTAAAAACAAAAAGAAGAGTGGAATAAGTTAAATATTTCCACACCCCCCCCCAAAAAAAAATAGGGAAAACAATCGCAAGGAAATTAAGTTGCTTCAAACTAGCAAATCCAAGGAAAAAATCGAGTTCAAACCATCCTCAAAATTAATAATTCCCAGCTTTTAAGTGTTTTTGATACAGCACTTGGAATAATCGAATTTAAATCCATTTCTGAGAAATAATCGGCAAATCTATTTATTTAATAAGGATTAATTCCAAATGGCTGCACTTGAAAAACCTGAGAATTTCCATTATATAAACTAAAACTCCAGGATGACAGTAGTAATTTCACCATAAAAAAAATCTGTATCAAAGTCAATTTATGCACAAAAAAATAAAAATGTTCCAAAATAAAAAGGAAATCCTCCCCATCGGACCCATGTCCTGCTTATCTAAACGACTGCCCATTGAATGAATGAAATGAAACAACAGTTCACCCACTTTTTTACTGTCTCTTTTCTTTTGTCTACTTATTAGACGGGTAAAAAACAATTGATGCCTAAACTCTCATTGTGTTATTATCGGACTCCTCCAGGTAATTTTTGGACATTTAAATGGCAATGTTTTAAGTAAGATATATGCCTCATACTATTCTATATGTAAAATTCTACTCATACTATTCTATATGTAAAATTATCAGACAGTTTTCGGCCCTAACGGGCCTCAAACAGTCTGATAATTTTACATATAGAACAGTACTCGGCATATATCCATAACGTAATGCATAGAAAGGTGTGAAAATCGCTTCACGCCTGAACGCACACAGTTGGAGATAATTAGAATTGATTGACAGCTGCATTTATGGATTGTTTTTTTTAAATAGATGTTCAAATAGGCGTAATTTACATTTTATGAATTAATCTGCAGTTTCATTTTTTCTTGATATACATTATATCACTACTTATTTGAATAAATAATAAATTTAGAAAAAAATTATTAATACACATACATGTTTCTATCTCACATCGTACTTAAAGAAAAAGATCTAGCCATAAATATATGAAAAATTCACTTGTTTAATATTTGAACAAATTAACTAATAATTGGAATTTTAAATTTAATCTGGAAGCAAAATAAATGCAGGTTTTAGGCTTTCACAAATGTAACTTAATGATAATAATTTAATTTTTTTTTTGGGGGGGGGGGGGAGTGGTTGTAGATTAATACGTTTTGTTTTTTTTTAATAACAACAATATTTCTGACAAAAAATCTGACTAGTCCCTTTTTGATTTGATTCTGTTGACTGGTTAGATTTATGCTTTATAAGTCTGACTGAAATCGGTATATATTAAAGTTAGCTTAATGACTTATGTAATGATTCCTACATTAATTCAAACATTTATAGAGGTCCACCAGATATTGAGAAGGTCCGCCAATAATTTTTGACAAGTGGACCTGCGGTCCACCAAGGTAAAAAAGTTAGTGTCGAACCCTGCCTGTGTGGTAACCAATAAATCCACATATGTGACTTATTATATTTGGTACAGTTGTACTATGAAATTTTAAGAAATGATCCCCAAAGCAAAGGGAGTTTTAACATTGCTTCTTTTGAACACTTTTAAGCAGAAGATGTATTTTATTCAAGAAGTAATTATTTAACCACAAATTAATATTGTGTATAGCCCCTGAAAAGGAATTTGAACACAATTGTATAGCAGGATACACATCTATGAAAGTACCAACTATTTATTTTTTTGTGTCTGCATGCATGTATACAATTTGCGAGAGTAGAAGTAGATTTATTTTCTCCTTCATTCAAAGATAAGATGTGTACAATGATCAACAACTGAAAAAATTTAATACCCTGGTTAACAATGCCTGTGACAAGTGATATCATAACAATTCAATGCTAATATTTACCTACAAGTCCTACATGTATATTGTCAGTTTTCAGATTATAAAGTTTCATCAAATTTATTTGGACAAATGTTCAGGTTCATAATGTTAATATGTCCTCAATTTCAGACTCTGGAGCAGTTTGAGTATGACGGTTGTGATAATTGTGAGGAATATCTGCGTATGAAGAACAACAGAGAACAGGTTTATGACTGTACAAGCTCCAACTTTGATGGGTAAGTAATCAGCTATATGAGCATGCTGTCAATAATTCATTCATTGCAGTGGACTTAATTTGCTCTGATAAAAGAACAATATTGTCCGAAAATTTAAATGGTTCAGGACAAGTTACAATTTATAGTTTGTTTAGTGTATTTTTTAAGTGTTTGTTTCCTTTTACAGATTAATAGCATTAATGGGACCAGAAGATAGTTGGGTTGCCAAATGGCAGAGGATTGGTAAGTGAAAATGAAAAATCTCTGTTTCAGAGTATTTTTTCCTAATGTATACTGAGCAAGTGAGTTCCATAGACAGAGTTACCTCTCTTTCCTAATATATACATTTATTTTGTCTTTGAGTATATAGCATAGATTGCATTTCAGACACTCTACATTGATTTTCATTTCTGTCTACAATAATTATATCTTAAAGGAATTTACAATCACAACAAATTCATTTTCACCTGTCTACAAAAATTACCGATATATCCTTTAAAGGTTCACAATTTTTGAATAAAATTAAGTAAAGAAAAATGGGTATATATATCAGTCTTGATGAGATTTGTTGAGACTAAAAATGTTGTACTGACTTTTCCTTGAAGAGACATCCACAGTACAATATTTATAGTCTCAACAAATTTCACAGAGATGATAAAATGCAAGACTGAAAGACCTCTGTTGGAAAGAGAAGTGAAAAATTAGTTGATGCATCAGTTGTTTCCATTTCACTTCATCATATTTCTTTCACATTGACAAGCTAAACATTTAATTCTTGATGTAATATAAGGAAGAAAGAGATCATGATCATGAGTACAACATATTGAAGCAGTTTAAACACATGTTTTAATCCAGTCAGAGTGTGCTCTTCTTTTCCATGGTTTGCTGCAAGAAATTTTGTTTTGATATGTTTCTCTGTAAGTATAAGTGGTCCATTTATTGCAGGAAGATTTGTGAAAGGCTGCTACGCTATCTCTGTGACAGGCCGACTTCACCCCAGTACAATCAGAGACCTCAAAAGTAAAGGGGTGTTCTACCGCTCCAGGGATACCAGTCAGAAAACCTGACGTTCACAGAATCCAGTCTTTGTGTCGGGGAGCAGCTATTGAGTGTTCAGAGGAATGATTGTGTACAGAGTGTGAGACTGAAGTGAACAGTGCGGATAAATATGTTTTTAAAATAGTTTTGCATATTTTGGTAATAGCAATTCATATATGTTTTGAATTTTTTGGACAGGCATGGGCTATGTCTGCCATAATATAAATACAAAATAAATAATTTTATGACATAATATTGTGAGTAGTGTTTTATTTTATCATTAAACCTGGTATCTTGTCACAGTACATGCTGATAGGATAAAAATTTCGCACTCATTAATGATCCTCATGTGCCAAGTATAGGTCTAAATTAAAGCCATTCACCAGTATATGATGACATCTCTATTGGGGGAAAAATTCTGATAAATGGAACTTAAACAACATACAATCAATTAAATCAGAAAGCTAAAATACTAATGAAGCAAAAATAAAAAGACTGAACAAGGTGTGCAAATAGGTGTAGAAAAGTAAGATGTGCCTACAGCTTTAAACACATGTCAAGTCATATTAAATTTATAAATTTATTATTTGGAGTAAAGTTCTAATCATTCATGGGATTAAATTATGACAAACAAAACTTCTCTGTGTTGAAAAAATAAGCGAAAATTGGTAATTAAGAAAAGTTTGGGATCTAAACCCAATTGGATATGTTGAATTTGACCTTTTAATTAAAAATTTATTTTCTGGACAAGTGGCTATGGCCAAGCCATGCAGGTTAATGTTTTTAGTCTAGAAGGAAGTCTATTCAAAAGAAAATATTAGCCCTAACTGGACCAACTGGTTGCCCTCAGATGTGGCCAATTTCCAGATGAGTGACCCGGGTAATGTTTTGGTGGTACATGTAGCTATATAATTATGTGGCCTGTTATGATTAAAACTTGCAGTAGATAGATGATTGTTTTTTCAGGGAACAGATTTGGTTTTTTTTTTCTTTTTTTTTTTTAAATTTTTTTTGACATTTTAGTGGCCAATGAAATGAAGAATTTGGATAAAAAATAAAATTTTAAAGAATATTGTATTACATAATAAAGCTGACCACCCATGTATATTCATGGAATAGGTATTAAGTTATTCATATGCAATAAAACATTAACAAGATATTTTCTTGCCCTCAACAAAAGTTCGAATTTATTCTAAAAGGATCCGCGCCCCTATCAGATCGGGCACGAGTGCATTCCACTTAGAACGGAAGTAGTTCCGGAATATGTGTACAAAAAATTTACTAAGTTGTGTGTTAACATTTTTAACATTTTTAAAGGACAATTTGAGTGGTTTGGTGTAGTTGTCCTTATAGACGGATTATAGAAGTGAAGTACAAATTACATAGTCCACATATGAATTGTCATCTTTCATAAGTATATTCAGGATTTCCTCTGAATATTTCTGTTATTTTCACACCGGAAGCAAGACAACAAACTTAACAAGTGGTAGTTGATGCAACACTATAACCAGAGAGTAATGGAAGATTTAGGTTTGTCTACATTTATTCTTTTGCCAATAATAATCTTGCTAGCATGTATTGTACTCATTGTATCATGAACAAGTCAACATCATAATCCGAGTTTCCTCTGTTCCACTAAGTTGGCATTACTTTAAATGCTTGTCTGAAATTATCTAAACTGTTCTTTTAGAAAAAAAAAATCATTGTTTTACAGTGATAAATTATTCTTTAACTGTAATGTAAGAAGGGATGATTTTTTTACATTAAAATGATGTAGATCTTTAGCTAATATACATGTTTGAAGCATTTATGATTTACAACTCTGCCATTAACAAATTTATTCACCAAAAATATGTGCCAGACCTGATATCATACATGTGATTCTTCCGGCGGGAGGCAAAATCTCCCGATTTGTAACCCCTCTTCCGCCCCTCCCGATTAATTTTTAAATCTTCTGTGTTTAGAATAATTCTTCAAATTAAATATATTTTGCATTACCTTTTATCAAGTTTCTTATAATTGGAAAAAAACAAGATGGCGCTCGTGAGGTAAGAGGTGTTTTTTCGGTGAGCGCGAGTTTGGAGATATTTAGTGAATTAATGACTATTGTGTGTAAGAAACTGGATTCTTTTATTCTCTCTTGACCGTTTATTCATCAAGTATACAGGTGATATAAAGGTGATGGATCTACAAAACACAGTTACAAGTTGTTGTAGAAATTAAATTAAAAAAATATAAGATTTCCAAATCAAATTATCATTCTCCATAAATACCATGATCTGAACTATTTATCAAATTTTTAACACTCAATTCACTTTACTAATACATGTACATACAACAATTACTGAATATACTGTTCTACAAATAGTAATACACAGATACATACATTAACTCATGAACCTTTACTAATTATACAACTAATACATACTATTTGCATAAATATAACAGTGGCTAGGTTCATGGTTCATAAAAATAAAATATAAATCATAAAAGATACCGTACTGTCTGACATCAACACCTACCCCAGATAGGGAAACACTGGTACATCAGAACGTCCTCAACAGACAAACAGACTAGTGTGACACTGTAGAATTGACTGATCTATCTGTAAACAATACCCTTATCTTAATAGTCTGATAATAAAAATAAAATCATAATAGAAAAACAATTGGCATTACTCAGGTATTTCACCTAACTTGCAAAGTTTGGCAACATTGCTATAATATAATCCAATCTCATTATCATGCACTTTCATAATATCTTAAAATATATATCATCATAATGCACACTCTTAGTAACTCTATATGCATCTTCATTTCTCATTAATACTCACAAAGTTCTTCTCTACAGGATACAGGAGTCTTTGTTTCAAAAACAATTCACAAATGGCGCACACGAGAAAAATAATCTCAATGACCAATGATGACCAAGTTTTGACATTAATTCAAAAACTTCTCTTTCAAAACCAACATCATATTCTAAATGGAAATAATGTGAAATATAAGTTACAATATTTTCATTACTCTGAAATTACACAAACCCTATTATACCAAGTTGCATTATTTGGAGAGTATACAGATAAAAAAAAAATATTCATTGCATAACATCTTTGCAATGACACTGAACGTAATCCGCAGTGGTCAAGTGGTTAACGCAGAGCTCCCTGAACAACAAATCACGACAACCCTGGTTCAAATCCCAGTCGTGGTAAAAACTTTTTTTTTTTCTTTTCTATATATATACATAAAATTTGTTTTAAAATATACAACTCTTACATAGACTAAGGATTTCCTAACAGTGTGCTAAAATAACTTCAGAGGAACCTTTACACTGTGAAAAAAAAATATTTGAAACGATCTATCTGTGTTTTTTAAAGAAAGGAGATTCTACACAGTCGTGAGTACTGTTTATTACGATCTTTAAAAACCTCGATTTGTTCGTGTGGTTTTCATGCTGTTTTCCCTTGTGAAAGACTTTGTTGACGCTACATCCAAATAAAAACAAAAACATGCCTGGTACTAAGAAAGGGTCAGAAAAAAGTAAATCTGAAAGAAATGAAACGGTTGAAACAACAGATGACTTGACAATAGGGTCATTAAAAGCTGATCTACTTGAAATTAAAGAATGCTTGCAACAAACGGTAAAAACGTGCGATTTAGAATCAATGGTGACTAATATAGTGAAGGGACTTCTGAAGATTCATGAAGCAAATGCGGAAAAAAGAGAAACGCTGTTAAATAAAAGAATCGATAACCTGACAAAAGACGTCGATAGATTAACAATGGAAAACGAAACTCTAAAAGAAAAACTGTCGGAAACTAACAAAAACAATAGAGAACTGAAAAAGGAAATGGATCAGCTGAACGATCTTGCTACTTTTGCCACAGTGAAAGCTAACTATAATGAACAATACAGCAGAAAAAACAATATTAAAATCTACGGTGTCCAGGAAACAGAAGACGAGGATATTATAGAGGTCGTGAAATCTGTATTGAAGGAGAAAGGGGATGTAGAGGTTAACGAATGTGACATTGTGGCATGTCACAGGATACCTGGATCCAAGGGTAAAGGACCTAAACCCATTCTCATGAAAATGACAAATAACGACAAAAAGGCCCATATAATGCGAAAGCGGTCAAAAGTGAAGGCAGCCCCCGGTAACATTCGACTAGGCGATGACGTTACCAAGGAGAACGGCGAGTTGATCGCGCGCCTGTTGGACTGTGAGAGTGTTTCATCGGCATGGTACTTCAATGGGTCGGTTTACGGAGAGGTGAAGAAAAAACGAGTGAAGTTTGACATTCTTGATGACATTGCACACAAGGTAAATAAGATCCGGGACTAAAATATCCGTCCGTACCTCAACTAATTTTAGTGCTGTAAAATGTATTTCCGGTGTCATATGTGTTGATTTTTGACATTCCAAACAGTGACTCACTTTATCACGGTAGTCAACTTGTACTTTCGTGGAACTTTTTTTATCGTTGTATATCATTGTCTGATCTATTTTACTGCTTTTCTCTTCTTTGCTCTATCTTCTCTTCTTTTCTGAATCTCTACATATTTAAATCATGAGTTCACCGCCATCGTTCCGTTAGGTATCTAACTGTTTTTGCACAATAATTATACCAAATGGTTAAAATTATATCCGTAAATTGCCAAGGTTTAGGCGATATTGCAAAACGCAAAGATGTTTTTAATTATTTAAGATCGTTGAAATATAATATTTATTGCTTGCAAGATACACACTTCTCCTGTGATATAGAAAATGAAGTAAGAAATTTGTGGGGATACCAGTGCTTTTTTAGTTCATATACTACAAACTCCAGAGGAGTCGCAATTCTTATTAATAATAACTTTGATTTTAAACCTATTGCAGAAAAGGGTGATGTTGATGGAAACTATTTTTTACTTAAAGCATGTATAGAGGGCCATGAAGTATTGTTATGCACTATTTATGGTCCTAATATTGACACAGTACCACTCTTTTATGAAAACATTCAAAATCATATCGATGATATGCATTGTAGTCATATTATCTGGTGTGGGGATTTTAATCTAGTTATAAACCCAGACTTAGATTATTACAATTATAAATCGATTAATAATCCAAAGGCAAGAGACAAGATTTTAGAAATAATAGAAAATTTTTCTTATATTGACCCTTTTCGACAATTACACGAAAATGTTCGTAGATACTCTTGGAGAAGAAAAACTCCATTGAAACAAAGTCGTTTAGATTTCTTTTTAATATCTGAGTCACTCTTGTCAGGGTTAGAAAAATGCACTATAGAATCTAGCTACAGATCAGATCACTCCATAATATCACTGTCTATTGCTTTTAATGATTTTAAGAAAGGAAGGGGTTTATGGAAGTTTAATAATTCTTTACTATATGATGAAAATTATTTGGAATGCATTAAAAATGTTATCTTAAATGTTAAAAAACAGTATGCAATTCCAGTTTACAATATGGATAACTTAAATAATATTATTGATTCAGATATTTCCTTCACTATAAATGATCAATTATTTCTTGAAACCCTGCTCTTTGAAATAAGGGGAAAAACTATATCTTATGCAACTTACATAAAAAAGAAAAAGGAAAATAAGGAGAAAGAATTGATAGAAAATATCAGGATATTGGAAGAAAATATTTCTGAAAATAATATTGATGAATTATTTAGTAATAAGCAAGAATTAGAAAATATTCGAAAACATAAGCTACAGGGTTCATATATCAGAAGTAGAGCAAAATGGGTGGAGGAAGGTGAAAAACCATCAAAGTACTTTTGTTCATTAGAATCAAGAAACTTTACAAGCAAGATAATACCAAGATTAGAAGATGATAATGGAAATGTTATTTATGACCAAACAGAAATTTTAAGAGAAGCAAAATGTTTTTATGAACAGTTATATACAAAAAGTACAGATACTACAAATAATGATATATTCAAAGAGTTAAGAAATAAAGAAATTCCTAAGCTTTCATATAAAGAATCAGAATCTATAGAAGGCGAAATTACTATGGAAGAAGCTTCTTCTACACTTTACAAAATGAAATCAAATAAATCCCCTGGCTCAGATGGTTTCTCTGCAGAATTCTTCAAGATGTTTTGGAAATATATTGGGTTTTTTGTAGTCAGATCTATTAATTATGGATATAAGCACAACAGTCTATCTATTACACAAAAACATGGTATCATTACTTTGTTACCAAAAGGTGATAAACCTAGACAATTCTTAAAGAATTGGCGACCTATTACTTTACTAAATACGGTATATAAAATTGCATCTGGATCCATTGCAAACAGAGTAAAATGCTATTTAGATAGAATAATTAATGAAGATCAAACAGGCTTCATCTGTAATAGATATATAGGAGAAAACACCAGGTTAATTTATGACATAATGCATTACACTGAGGAAGAAAATATACCTGGATTATTACTACTTATTATGTTCCCCAAACGAAGTTGGGGAACATATTGTTTTTACTCTGTTTCTTATTATTATTATTATTATTATTA